GGTTCACCGCAGCTCTGTTCAGGAAAGTCATGCACAAGTTCAGCGTGCAAATGAAAATGTCAACAGCGGCCCACGCTCAGACCGACGGACAGACCGAAAGAGTCAACAGAGTCGTTGGGAATATGCTCCGCTCATACGCAAAGTCGAATCAAAGTGCATGGGTTGATTACCTACCTACGATTGAGTTTGCTATCAACTCATCACCCGCCGCCTCCACAAAGATGGCACCCTTCGAGGTTTGCAACGGCCGGATTCCAAGACAGATTGGACTGCCTGCTCGCTTGTCAGGGCAAAGCCCTGTGCTCCCAGACGAGCTCATGGATCGGTTGGCAAAGATACAGCATGAAGCATCCTCCAACTTGCAACAGCACTTTGACAAGGCTTCGTCATCAGAACACATTGAACCCCCCTTCAGGGAGGGAGACGAAGTGTATGTTAGCACACACTTATTACGAAATGAAGATGCGAAGTACCGCTCAAACAAACTCACACCACCATACGATGGTCCGTTCAAGATTAAGAACGTTCTCGGTCCAGCGCATTATCGCGTGGACTTCTCACCATTGAAAGTGCGCATACACGATGTCATCAACACCAAGTTCCTGAAGAGAACGAAAGGCACCCGATCTGTGCATCGACCAGGTCCTTTGCAAGGGTTCAGCGATGATGTGTACGCAATGGAACGAATCCTGCGCCACAGAAAGCATCGCGGTAGACTCGAGTACCTAGTGAAGTGGCTCGGCTATCCGGAATATGAAGCAACATACGTTCAGGCCAAAGACATGATTGGCTCACGATGCAAACGCTTATTGGCTGAATATCAACTTCAGACTGCCAAAGCAGATGCTGCCAAAGAGCGCTCTCTCAAACGCAGGTCTCAGAAGAGCAACGCTCGACACATAAGGTCAAAGACCTCAAAGCGTTAAGCCCTGATGGCGGGGAGAGTGTAGTGAGACAGCACTACAATACAAATCCTGAACTTAAGTGTCGTGAAGGAGTGTCAAGGCCGAACTTAAGGGTATCAAGGCATAGTCCTCCCGGAGTTCAGGACCAACACAGATTCCGAACCACACAACAGAACGGAACTACCACTCCTCACCAAGGACACCAACACCCAAGATCCGACCCCCTTGCTCGTCTCTCTTGACCTTGTGCCTGCCTCTACTTTCCTTGCTTGATTGTTGTCACTTATCTTATCACTCCACTTATCTCATCGCCCTATCCTATTACCCTGTCTTCTTTACTTGCGACTACGTCTCCCGCACAGTATACAGCAAGACCCTACTCTAAGTCCCAGTCAAACACTCTTACACACACACAGACCAGTCACATCACAACATGTGAGCTGTGGTGAGGACAATGAACAGTGCGTGACAAACTGAGGCCGTGAGTTTCTGTGTATCTGTGAGTGCGGATCTGCACCGCCCATGCGCGGAAGCGCAGACGTATCAGCACATTCGCATGCGCGCTTAAGACACACCCACCATAAGCATGGATATCTGGATATGTGTCGACGAAAGTTGAGAATAATGAAAACAAAGAACGGAAGCGACTGAAGAAGAAGAGCACGTCTGTTGACTCTGACTCCGCATTGGCGAGTTGGCGCACTTCCTGGATTGTTGTGTCACATCACATCACCTCACGATGTCATGTCACATTCCAACTGGTACGTTTCCGTTGTACGGCGTGACTAACGCGCCGTGAACAGGCAGGCAAACGGGCCATTCTCGACGCTGACGCCTCGTGCTGTTCGGTTCGACAATTTGCATGAGCAACATCCGAGCATGGTGACCAGCCAGGATGACAGGGTCGAGGAGCTCACAGGTCACGGCCTATCATGGTCTTGTTTGCCCCCTTTTGTTGTGCAGGCCATCGAGCCCGTGCTTGCACGCAGTGTGAAGTGTGTGTGTGCGTGTGTGTGCTGTTTTCAACCCTGTTCGCTAATCCGCCGCCGTTCCGCTTCCACATGTCAGCTTTGCACTTGTATACAGCGTTGTCACCGCCGCATGACACGTCAAAAGACATTCAAGAAGCAAGAAGAAGCAAACAACAAGCGACAATCGGCCAAGCCAATCGCCAACATGATCACAATCACTCGTCCTCGGGCACCTCCGCAAGCGCTGCCGCATCGCCGGCCTCTCCTTCTTCGCCCTCCATCGCGTGCGGATCCAGCGTGAGCCTGTGTGTGTGTGTGTGAGTGAGTGAGTGAGTGAGTGAGTGAGTGAGTGAGTGAGTGAGTGAGTGAGTGAGTGAGTGAGTGAGTGAGTGAGTGAGTGAGTGAGTGAGTGAGTGAGTGAGTGAGTGAGTGAGTGAGTGAGTGTGTGAGTGTGTGAGTGAGTGAGTGAGTGAGTGAGTGAGTGAGTGAGCGAGTGAGTGTTTGTGTGTGTGT